ATAGTATTGTTTCAAAAGTTTGGTTGAATTAGTTTGGTGTAAATGGGTATGGAACACACCTTTATAATGTGCACTCTATATTATTTTCACATAAAACAATGTTTTCTGCAATGCAATAACTTATTTTGAAAGCTAAAGACAACTGTCTATGTGATATAAAACTCATAATTTAGTTGCTTAAAAAGTACAAATTTTTCTGAAAAATATATAAAATAGCAATAATTTTTGGGTACAAAATATACCCCAGGTGTGACATGATTAAGTCATGTTGTAATGTACTCTCTCCATGAGAAAACTGCTAACTTGATGGTTGTTAATTAGAAATGAGTCAGCCACTCTCATTACCTGACAATATTAGAGTTTATTACCTACTCACTTATTATGTTCATTAAAACAACATGTATATTTTGCTCAGAAAATCCCCCTTCCTTTTTCTTAATCAGAAAGTACAGTAGCCAGGTAAATGAAAATTATCATTAAGAATATCCAGGAAAAGTTTAATGGCCAACCCGAATATATGTATAGGTTTATTTTAACTTGTATTTATTTATGTGCTTTGATTACGAATTTAAGTATTTGGGCTACTTTTCAAGTAAAATATTTTAACAGATGCTCTAATGCACCTTTGTAAATTACAGTGCAAGACAGACTGAGAACACTTCAGGACAAATTGTAACAGTCATTTCTTTGAACCAGATCAGTGACATTATTAATATTCATTTATTTATTTTTTTAGTAAAACATCATCATTTACAAAAAGGTCTGAAAAAGTATTTTTTTTCTTTTAAATCAATTATGTGTTAATATCATTCTTCAAATAAATTACTCTTGACTAAGAAAAATACTAAAATATCAGCATTGCAGGTATCACACTTCTTGGAAACTTCTTTGAACATTGTGAACAATACAACTTATAGATTTTCACTATGATTAATAAACGATGCAGATGTACAATATTAGCAGGGGTCATATTTGACACACAAACCTTACAATAAGCCATTTGATTTCCTTCGCTTGGCATTAAGAAAAGACAGTTCCTTAAATATTGTTCCAATTAGTTCATTAAAACTTTCGCAGAGGAAAGACCTTGAAAGTAAACAAGCTGCGAACTAATGCACGAGTCCTCCCAGCAATATTTATCGTATATTACTCATAGAGAACAAATCCTCGACTTCATTACTCATAATTATTCCGCTGCTCTGAGAATAAAAATTGTAAGCTCGGAAGCTATTAAGCCGAGTTTTTTTATCATTTCGAGAATTTGGGTCTATAACAAGATTACCATGAAGGAAATTGTTTTAAAATGAAACCATATTTATCATGGGATTGTATTTTATTCTATTAGATTAATGTAAGTTTACTAAAACAAATCAACTTTGTTCTCCATTATTTTCATATTTTTAATAATCCATTAAGGAACTGTTGATATATACATGTATAGGTATTCTTGATACAAATGTATAATAATTATTAACCAATTTTGATAATTGGAATTATGTCCGTTTCATAGTAAAACACACCTTTTTCAAAAAAATAAATAAATCTCTAATTAAAATTGAGAATAAGCATGCATATAAAGTATATGTAAGACATTATCTAAAGTATGGCAAACAAGAGAGAGGAATACACATATATACCCTGTACATGTACATCCTGTTACCCAAGAATGTAAAAATAATACAGGAATTCAATATGAAAGCCAGGCCATCATTCATACAAATTATATGTTGAAAAGTAAAAACTTTCTGGCTATAATATAGTTGAGGCAATAAAATGTTTTAGCACCTGTATGCACTAATCAATTTCTTTGAGTTTGATTTGGTCCATTTACTTCACAAGGTGATCTTTTGGCCATTAGATTTGCAAAATTAAGTATTATTATTGCATTATTCCTGCATCCTGCTTAATTGGATATGAGTATATGGTTATATAATGATAATCAGGGTGTTTTTTTTTTTACTTTTCTAAAATTTTGCCATAAAAGTCTAGTTCTTTCTTTTGAAATTGATTTTTTCTTAATCATTAAATCGTTACTCCCTAAGAATTTCTGTGGGACCTGTTTTATGTCTATGTCTATAAGGCAATTTTATGTTTCACACTGGGGATTTAGTGACATTAAATATATCCGGAAATTGGGATATCAAAAATTTAACAAAGTCAAAGATGAAATATAAGATTTTATAGCATTATCCCTATTTGGTATTTAAGTCATATATAAATACTCGGCTGACATGGCATAAATGCTGAGGAGAGAGTAATAAGAAATTTTCATGCCCCTTTATGCAAGTAAGCAACAAAATTGTACAATTTGATTGTATTATATGTGCCATAATTCACCATCAATGCCAACAGAGAAGCTTTTGTCAAAATAGGAATAGGTCATAAATGCATGCCTCACCTTCCATTAATGCTTTTTAACTTTGTAACTTATAAGTAATCATCTAGTAATCAGATCAGTATTGTTAAGGCTGGACCTTATAGCCCCATACCACTGAGCTCTGCCTAAAACAAAGTTATTGATACTAAAATCCTTGAAATATGCAAATAATTTTAAAACAACATAATCAAAGACCTGAACCAACGACATAATTGACAAGTACTGACCAATTAATCAACCAATTCCTACAATCAACTGAATCATTGATTGACTGACTGACCAAATCAACAATCCACCAACTGACTGACCAACTGACTTATTGACCGACTGACTGACCAATTAACCATCCACCAACCGATGGACCTATTGACTGACTGATGGACCATCAAACATCCACTAACAGACTTGACTTACTGACTGACGGACCAATCAATCAACCATCTACCAACTGACTGACCAACTGACGATGGACCAACTTATTTACTGAGTGAGGAAAACTGATGGGAAGTCATCACTTTCATCATAATATTTCATACGCCTTCTTGCTTAACAAAAATGCATTTCCTTTAAAAAGAAAAGCATAAATTCCAGGTGTTTTAAATGCTGACAACTGCATAAATACATGTCTATTAAAAACTTTTTTTACCAGGTGCCATAAATTTAGTATCAAAAGGTTTTTTAATCTGCTTAAGTCTTTATCAAAGATTTACCAAACATTTATCCTACATCAAACAGTAGAGTTTCAGGGAAAAATGGAATGTCATCAATTAAAATGTTCATATAATGTATTTCCCCTTTGCATGACATAGCACTCTACAAATTACATACAACTAAAACTGTAATCATTTAAATTGATTACAGACATTACATAGAGAGGAAAGAGAAAGTTTAAAATTCTAAATCAATAAACTAAAACATCTTTTAAACAAACCTTATGGAAGATAAACTCTTAGAATAAAATCCAACATCCAAACAAATTTTCTGTCTTTGAGTATAATCACAAAGTTAATGATATTTGTAAGATAAAATAAAAAAAAAATCCCAAGTTTTTCAACAGAGTTAAATCACACTTTTGGTTTAAGTAAACTCTAATCCAGATAAAAGATATTGTCAACTTCATGTACTCAGAGGAACGTTTCAAAAGAATTCCTTTCCACCAAAAAGAATGTCCTTAAATGTCTGGAAAACACATAAAAGTCTATTAAATTGGAAATTATTTGACATATGGCATGGTGTGCTTGATATTGCTAGAATATTACTCACTAAAAATAAAAAAAATCCTGTTCCGTAACCATGAAAATAGAAAATTTCTTTGGACCTCATCAGTTTTGATCAGAAATATGATGTATGTTTTGGTAAACCAAGCATTAAATTGATTGGTTAGAGAGAGATGGAACACATTATCTATGTCCTGTAATGTAATGATTGTATATTTTATGTTCAATGTTATACAAATATCCCCAGGACATGCAATCAAACACTGCGACCCATAATAAAACTTACCCAAAATAATGATAGTGTATGTATATAATAGACTGGTTGGTGAAACAGAATAAATAACAACAATAAGTATGCAATAAATCAGGACCAGTCTGAAAAAAGAAGCATCTGATTGGTTGTTTTTGAACAAAAACTTAAATTGACCAATGACAAGGCTCAGCCTCAGATTCAGTATCTAAATAACCCGAGTGCAATTAACATACCAGTTTTAGCTCTGAAGAATGTTAAAAGTCAGATTTTTTAAAATTCAGATGTGAATAAGGTGAATTTTATTTATATATCACATATAGATTCAGCATGTCAAATTTAAAAGTTTTGTAAATGTCAACTTCTCCACATTATTCTCTAAATAATAAATTATTTTAGGATCAATAACCAGAACTTAAATATCCTTCAGTGACTCAATAATCCTATTGACAGATCGTCAAAATTCTTCACTTTAAAAAACACATCTCTGTAATTACAACAACTTCTTCCTAAATTCAATAATTCTGGAATATTATATTCATCATTCTTTAACAATCATATGCAAAATATCTACATCAATCATAATATATAACAGAATAAACATTTTGATACAAATTAAATATGACATGTTAACAACTAAGTACTTTGTCAAAAGTAGTGGTAGTTCTGCTATCTTTTGGAATATCAACTCCAAAGTCCCTTGGGTTCCATTTAACTGACATCTACAATAAACATATGGCAAAACTAATGGCCAAAATATTCATTTTCTCTTTAAAAACAAGTTCAGGGAAAAGAGATCTTTCATAAGTCAATGAACATAAAGAATAAGTTACTATACAATGTTAGGGAACCTTAAAACAGGCTTTTCTATGTGCTTTACAATTTGAAATATGTTTGAAACAATATAATATCTCAAAAACTAAATCAATCGAAATTTCTCAATATTGTATCTAAGGGAGGTAACACAGAATTAACTGTGTATAAAATGAATCAAGGGTTACTGTTTTCAAAATGGGACACAACTGCAAAACAACATAAAATACTGGCTAATAAGAGTTATTCCCCTTGTAAAAATAGAAGTCATGACTTACCATTTGTGCACTGTTTTTTGGCTTGGTCTTTATATCCTGAAGTTTCTCATTAGCTAAAAATAAAACAAAACAAAAATTCAAGAGTGAAAATTTAAATAATTCAGACAAAATCTATGACAAAATTATATGTGAGCTTTATAACCATAAACTTGTTCATTTCATTGTATATGATGCTGCTAATACAGTCAAAATGTAAATGAATTACAAATCAAAGCACAGAAGGTGCTGAGTTTGTTTGGGTCTCAGAATGTCACAAAGGTGAAGGTTGTGAGATTATAAACCAATTTTTTTTTGTATAGTGCCACCAATGCTTTCCAGTGTTTTAACTGTAGTAAATTGGCTATAAGACTAATTGCAACACTGACATTAATTCAATGTTTATTTGGTTTAAACAATTTAAAAAAAACAACAAAAAAAACCAAAAAAACATGAGTTGCCTTAAGCTTCCTAAGCGAGCGTGTAAACCCCTCGACCACAGGGAGTTATAAGATAACAGTCTGAAGAAAACCACATTATTCTAAATTAGGGTTTGTAACCCTTATTAATTTCGATATATTTTGTTCACGGTAAACCTGTTGTTTAACACTGATGTAAATAATCATTCAGGTTAATATAAGCATGTATATCTATAAAGAATAACACAATATTAGAAATCTTCGACTAATCAGGAACTATTTTTTCTTCCCCAAGAATACTTGAAAATTTATGCGCCTGTCATTTGACAATCTTTAAAATATAATAACATTTGTATTTTCATCACAATCATCATTTTTTTCTCTCTCTGATGGACTTGCCATTAGGTAAATCATAATAAACAGTCAAAATACATATGAACAGCCAAATAAAACTTCTACTTCACTGCAAAAAAAACAAAAAAAAACAAGAAAATAAATTAAGACAGCTGCATTTATTTTGGTAAACACCAGGCAACAGCTTTTTGCTTATGCTCTCTGTTTATAAAACATTATATAGAACATTCATAAATTGAGGTAATGATGAAATATGAAATCATTTCATCTCATATCTTGGAACGATCATTGTTGAGAAATTTATTTGGGAATTTGAATGAATTCAGTGAACAACAGATTACTAGCAAGGCTCAATTTTCAAATTTGTTAAGGCAATTTGAGTATATTAGGTCTATGAGAAGTCTGTAAGGAACATAAGTGTACAACAAATGTGGTAACAAGTATGTGACAAATATGATAGCAAGTCTTTGAGAAATATGACCATGAGAAACATGATGACACGACTATGAGAAATGTGACCTTGAGAAACATGAGGTGACAAATATGATAGCAAGTCTTTGAGAAATATGACAATGAGAAACATGATGACACGACTATGAGAAATGTGACCTTGAGAAACATGAGGTGACAAATATGATAGCAAGTCTTTGAGACAATGTTTCCAGAAAACCACGAAAATAAGACTATGAGAAATGTGACCATGAGAAACATAATAACAAGACTATGAGAAATGTGACCTTGAGAAACATGACGTGACAAAATATGATAGCAAGTCTTTGAGACAATGTGACCAGAAAACCACGAAAATAAGACTATGAGAAATGTGACCATGAGAAACATAATAAAAAATTTATGAGAAATGTGACCTTGAGAAACATGATAACATGTCTATGAGACAATGTGACCAGAAAACCATGAAAACAAGACTTCAAGTCTATGAGAAAATGTGACCATGAGAAAAATGATAACAAGTCTATGAGACAATATGACCAGAAAACCATGAAAACAAGACTTTGAGAAAATGTGACCATGAGAAACATGATACAAGTCTATGAGACAATGTGACCTTAAGAAACATAATAACAAGTCTATGAGAAAATGTGACCATGAGAAACATAAAAACATGTCTTACTCTATGATAAATGTGACCATGAGAAACATAATAACAAGTCTATGAGAAAATGTGACCATAAGAAACATGATAACAAGTCTATGAGAAAATGTGACCATGAGAAACATGATAAAAAGTCTATGAAACAATAAGACCATAAAAAAACATGATAACATGTCTATGAAAAATGTGACCATGAGAAACATAGTAACATGTCTATGTTAAATGTGGCCATGATGAACATAATAACAAGTCTATGAGAAAATGTGACCATGAGAAACATTATAAAAAGTCTATGAAACAATGTCACCATAAGAAACATGATAACATGTCTATGAAAAATATGACAATGAGAAACATGATAACAAGTCTATGAGAAAATGTGACCATGAGAAACATGATAAAAAATCTATGAAACAATGTGACCATAAGAAACATGATAACATGTCTATAAAAAATGTGACCATGAGAAACATGATAACAAGTCTATGAGAAAATGTGGCCATGAGAAACATGATAACAAGTCTATGAAACAATGTGACCATTAGAAACATGATAACATGTCTATGAAACAATGTGACCATGAGAAACATGATAACATGTCTATGAAACAATGTGACCATAAGAAACATGATAACATGTCTATGAAAAATGTGATCATGAGAAACATGATAACAAGTCTAAAACAAGTAAGATGGTACAGAAGTCAGTTAAGTCGGATACTTACTGACAGCCTCAATGACATCAGCAAGCAGAACACCATCAGTGACATCTTGTTGTAGATCTGAGATGTAACGTTTACTTCGGGCTTTTTCCAAATAGTGGTTCGCCCAATCTGTATAGATCTGAAAAAATAAAATTCAACAGTAATTATTAAAGGTGTATACATCAAGGAAATGAAATTTACACATGGAGACACTATTTTCTCTTTAAACTTTTTCACTCCAGATAAGACAACTTTACCATTTATACTAAAGTGTAATATTTAACAATTTCAATGCTAAATATTTTAAATAGACTTGTCATTTTTACAATCTAGACAAATCTATTCATCAATTGAGGGAAAAATTTCAAAATATGTATTGACTTTCAGAAATAAGGAATAGTGCAGATCATTTACTGGTCTTACTGGTGGAATCAGTTGATTTATATTGAATCAATAAACATTTACCATAGAACAATTAGCCATTCTTTGTTGAACAAATAACTCCTTAAGACTGTTTTAAATCATTAATTACACAATAGTTTACTGAGATTTAAGGGTGTTCTACAAATCTCTGTTTGCAGATTGTTGCTCAAAGACAAAGCTAGACCCTTGAAAGTCATCCATTTATTTTAGAACTATAACATTAGGCTTCTAACAATAATTAAAACAGATTGCTGCTCTTTGAACTATGTTTTCCTAAACTCTTCAGTCTAGAGTTTTGTTCCTTGAACTCTTCAATTTAGGAGGAGAGATATTTACAATTCTGATGCATTATGGGTACAAGCTCTTCTGTCAGGAGGTTTGTTTCTGAAGCTCTTCAATTTATGAGGGAAGATATTTACAATTCTAATGCATTATGGGTGCCATGTGTTTGAGAAAGCTGGAAAACTATGAATATTATTGATGCAAATACCATAAAGAGCTTGTAAAATTTGCAAATTTCTGTAAAATTTTATCGGCCTAGCAACCAGACTTTAAAAATCAGCAAACAGGAACTGGTTATAACAATTCAAATCCAATGATTTATTAACAATGTTTCATATCTTCTGCATAAATCTGCATGAAATGATTCACTTTTCACCACAGCAGTAATAAGAAACACTTTGTTATACCCGTATCTGCATGCGTTTTGTTTTAAATTCTCTTTTTAAGGGAGCTCACTCCTGAAGCACATACAAAATATGTACAGTTGTATCCCTTGGCTTCAGAATTGAGAATTATTTAGTTAGCTGAAAGCTTTTTACGAAAATCAGCTAACTTCACAGGAAACAATTATTATTTTTTACTATTGAAAGGGTGTAACACTATTTGCTAGAACACTTCATTATGGTGGAAAGAACTTTTCAAACATAGACTATCTGTCACCATCCTGTGTCCTTATGAAAATGTTACTAAAATCCCACAAGGTCTGACACATCTAATATAACCAATACATTACAACCTCTATAAGGCACTTAACTAAATGAATGATACGTAAATGTCTTGCATTAAACTGAACTGTTATAGAAATATACTATATCTATGTTATTGAAGGATTTTTTTATCTTTCCTTTTATAGTGCTCACAAGAAAAAATCTGAATATCAATATCAATTTGTCATGCAATGGCACAGACAATTTGGAAAGTTAAATATAAAATAAATTGATACAATAGTATCTTGCGAAGATGCATACACAATAATGATGATGGTTGATGAGAGCAATTTAAATAAAACAGCGGAATGTATATTTAAGAAAATTTCAAACAAATTTGTAAAGGTGAAACTTCACCTGAACATTATTTCAGACCAGCAATTATCTTTTTAAAAACAGTGAACATTATGAAGTCTATGAGGAACTTTTTTCTGAACTTATAATCAAACATTCATCTTTAATAGAAGCAACACCATCCTAAGTCATTCTTTAAACAGATTAAGATAATACACTTCTGCTTCGATTCTTCAAAATGTCCTTGAAGTCCTTCAGAACATCTTAAACATAGCCTGCTTGCAAACCTAATTAGTTTACCTGCATTTCCCCCCATTAACAACAGAACACATAAATAATTTCCCCAACAACTGGAGGCACTCATCTTATATATTCATAAAAACTATTCTTTTTTCTGTGAATGAAGTACAACTGTATGTGTAACGGAACAAACCATTAAGCTTTGTTACAGTATATGATGCATATTCATGAGAATATGTAACACTATAATACATGTATGTGTTACATTAATATTTTACACTCAAAACTTTTATTTGGCATACAAGAACAATAACCAGAGCAACAGATAAGGTGCGTATTTGCGTATTTACGCAATTAATTTTATAAAATACGCAATTGATTTTTTAAGAATGCGTATCAAAACCCATTAAAAAAAATGAAATACGCAATTGTCTTAAAACCCGTGCGTATTGTCATTTTCATCACCGCAAAATTAATCTGTCATACGCTCGAAGTTTTGGACAAATTATATCGATATGCATGCTATCCGAATATTCCCGAATCAATGCTAACTAATCAACGGTCTTCGACGGTCCCCGGTCTCCAAAGACCGACTAAGCCATATCAATAAAGCATGAGACCGTCGATTTGTCTACTTAGGTCAACGGTCTTTAAAGACCAGCAGAGACCGTTGATTTTGCGGAGACCGTCAATAAGAAGGTCCCAGTTGTATCAATAGACGCTTTGAAAGCAATATGGCGTCAAAACAGTTGTAAATCAAAAATTAGTCAGAAAACGAACTTGTTAAAATATTATGAAATATAACATGAGCATTTTATATAAAAAATAAAACAATTGTGAAAAGTTCTAGTAAATTGTTAATCCTATTTTCTTTTTAAAAAAGTTTTAATTTTATTGATATTGAAATCATAAAATTCATATCTTCATAATTGAATACCCAATTAATCTTGAAATCATAGGGTATCGAGTTTTTGAATACCCAATTAAATGGAGCCAATACCCAATTCCAAAGGAAACTAGACCTATCACTGAAGGTGATTAATACCCCCACCAGCAACTTTTTGAAAAATAAGTAGTCTGAAGAAAAATTTCAACACATACTATCAACTGTGTACAAAGAAATATTTCAATTAATTGTAATCCCAACCGGGGTCTCCAAATAAGCTTGCTTTTCACAAAGTTTGATTACAATATCTCATTCCTAACTCTAGTTATTGTCCGGAAACCATTTTTCTATATTTAGTAACGGTGACCTTGACCTCAGGGGGTCCAAATGCAATACCAACCAAGGTCTTCATATAAGCTTGCTATACACCAAGTTTGATTACAATATCTCATTCCTAACTCAAGTTATTGTCCGGAAACCATTTTTCTATTTTTAGTAACGGTGATCTTGACCTTGACCCCAAATTGTGAAAAGTTCTAGTAAATTGTTAATCCTATTTTCTTTTTAAAAAAGTTTTAATTTTATTGATATTGAAATCATAAAATTCATATCTTCATAATTGAATACCCAATTAATCTTGAAATCATAGGGTATCGAGTTTTTGAATACCCAATTAAATGGAGCCAATACCCAATTCCAAAGGAAACTAGACCTATCACTGAAGGTGATTAATACCCCCACCAGCAACTTTTTGAAAAATAAGTAGTCTGAAGAAAAATTTCAACACATACTATCAACTGTGTACAAAGAAATATTTCAATTAATTGTAATCCCAACCGGGGTCTCCAAATAAGCTTGCTTTTCACAAAGTTTGATTACAATATCTCATTCCTAACTCTAGTTATTGTCCGGAAACCATTTTTCTATATTTAGTAACGGTGACCTTGACCTCAGGGGGTCCAAATGCAATACCAACCAAGGTCTTCATATAAGCTTGCTATACACCAAGTTTGATTACAATATCTCATTCCTAACTCAAGTTATTGTCCGGAAACCATTTTTCTATTTTTAGTAACGGTGATCTTGACCTTGACCCCAGGGGGTCCAAATGCAATACCAACCCAGGTCTACATATAAGCTTGCTAAACAACAAGTTTGATAACAATATCTCATTCCTAACTCTAGTTATTGTCCAGAAACCATTTTTCTATTTTTAGTAACCGTGACCTTGACCTTGACCCTAGGGGGTCCAAATGCAATACCAACCCAGGTCTTCATATAAGCTTGCTATACACCAAGTTTGATTACAATATCTCATTCCTAACTCAAGTTATTGTCCGGAAACCGTTTTTCTATTTTTAGTAACCATGACCTTGACCTTGACCCCAGGGGGCCTAAATGCAATACCAACCCAGGTCTTCACATAACATTGCTATACGCAAAGTTTGTTTACAATATCTCACTCCTAACTCTAGTTATTGTCCGGAAACCATTTTTCTATTTTTAGTAACGGTGACCTTGACCTTGACCCCAGGGGGTCCAAATGCAATACCAACCAGAGTTTCCACATAAGGTTGCTATATACCAAGTTTGATTACAATACCTCATTCCAAACTCTAGTTATCGTCCGGAAACCATGATGTGGACCGACCGACGGACGGACCGACCGACCGACCAACCAACCGACCGACCGACCGACAAGCTGACTCCTATATACCCCCCCTAAACTTCGTTTGTGGGGGTATAATGATGGAGTAATACCCAATTCACTTTTAAAGCTTATCTGTTGCTCTGATAACTGATATCAAATTGGTAAAAAACAGAACACATCACAAACTTAATGATATTATCAAACGCATTTAAAAACCAAAAATTGGCTCTTCCATTGTTTTGTTTTTCTAGTTCAATACTTAGTAAGGTTCAGCAACTGAATCAAATATCTCATGCTAATCTCTTATTAATGCCGAGCCCATCATAGTAAATGTATGAGTACTTAGCCATGCAAGGGGAATAACTCATATACAATAGTATGATCCATCTTGAACAAGGACGATCGATCTACCAGCGCTTCTGAAGATATTACAAGACAATACTTTTCCACTTATGGCACATTATGTGAGGATATAGATATGAGTTACTGAACTGTTAAGAGAAATCTAGAAAAATGAACTTAAAATAAAATTGTTATAGTGCAAAGGTTCTGGGATTGCTTAAAGATGTAGAAATGGCTATAATCAGAATATAAGAATAATGATTTTTGCATTGTTAGAGAAAGGAGGGCTACAAAATTCTAAAGGGCATCAAAAC